GTTTAATGGTGTTAATCTTTATTACTCAGGAAAGTTATTATAAATATAAAAAGTTATAACTATACCAGGTGTCTTGACACTTAAAGTTAAAATTTTTCAAAAAGTCGAGTTAATCGACAAAATTAAAATTTAAATAAAAATTGTAACAAGCAAGCCTGGATCAACAGGTACAATAATCGATGTAAAACAGATTATGTACCCTTATAAAATAAAGAAACAGACAAACAGCTGCAAAAAATGACTTTCCCTAGCCTCTTTTGTTTGTATCTATATCTTCGACTTCGCCTTATAATTTCAGTTTCTCGTTGCCAACATCAGGGACTTCCCCTCATAGAGAAACGAATCAAATCGAACATTTCAAAGTCTGTAATTCGCTAATTTGAAAACGGTCGAGGGAACCAGAAAGCGACGAGCTCCTGCGGTACTTAAAAGATTGATATCTGTAAAAATTGTAGGTTGCGAGGAAGGTGTGCTGCAGAGAAGGGGTTCACCAAGCCATGAATACCGTACGAGGGGATAGGGTCCTTTACCCGAAGGCAATTTGTCGCGAAAACCTAGACGCGCAATCCGAAAGCAAAACAGAACGTCCAACGAACGAGGTGTAGCGGCCTCTTTGCGCTCTGGCTCGTCTAACCGACGGAAATATTTCGCATATTTTTATTAGGAATTAATCCAGCCCGTAACACTTCGTGCCCGGCGTGTTCACCGCTGAAAATTCTCTTGACAAACAACCCTCTCGGCCGCGTTCGCACCCCTGCCTCGCTAAAGGGCGCGTCACGCTCGTGTTTGTACGCTTTTCGCGCGTGTGTGCTCGACCGTCTGCGAGTAGAAAAACCCGCAGAGGATTCAACCAAACGGTCAGCCGACGACCTGTTAGGGTCACCAAACTCTAGCAGGTAGAGCGAAATTCTTAACTAGATAATATATTTCAAGGTATAAGAGACGTAATGTAGACATTAGACTAAATATAGTTATTGAATTTTCCAGGGCAATAGAAACGCCGTGTCAGGAGCCCACTAACAAATTTTATCGATACTCAAGGCACTGTTACTGTTTTATCATATGACCTTTGAGAATAAATTTCCACAGAGAACTTTTACGCCATACTAGTTATTTGAATAAAATTCTGCATGTCTCTATGGGCATATCTCTCCCCTAGTCGCGAGCGAGTGGCCTGGAATTTCTCAAGTTTGCCCAGGGACAGAAATTAGTCGGAGCGACGTAATTGCTCGAACGTATGTGCTCACCCGTTAACGTTATGGCACCTCTCATTACGGTCCTAACAGCAGCTGACACAAGCAGTGGACGGGTTCATCCCGTGCGCACGGTTTACGGACGACCGAGACAAAAATTTAAGCGTTGTCCTGGGAAATCCCAGAAAAATTCAACGATATATTTCTGTCTTCATATATATCTTTAAGATACTCGTCAGTACTTGTAATCGTTTTCTCGAAATTAATTCCCAAAGAGGATTCCACTTGGACGCCTCAAGTAATTTGATTATTTATTTTGTCACCTCAAAGTGTATTTCAATTTCATAAGTAAAAAGTAACGGCAGATTACTTCACCATCTCAAAAACAATACGAAACACATGTACAGTTTGAATGCTTGGAGAAGTAACGATCGCGAACAATGGAAGGCTGATTGGATACGCGAGATACCATATAATTGGGTTCAGATTAATCGATGCCTTATCGCATTAAAATGCATTTTAAATCCATTGTTAAGGGAGAAGGTGGACAACGCGAAAGTTCGATAATTAATATTTCTGTTGATTACGCGAACCTGTTAGCCGTTCGGCGTCATTTTACCACAGTGGTACCAATTTCGTTGCGATCGTTACTCGAGATTGACGCGGCAGGTGAACACCGGCAAATTATTGTCATTCCATTGGGTCATCCCGTTAGTCATGATTAAGCAAATTTCATACCAGAGCTATTAATATTATAGCGGTTGACCGCGCGACGTCCACAAAATTCCCCTGGCTAGTATAGAATGCATATACTGCCCGACAACTGCCGCCACTACCAAACTTCCTGAAGTTGATTAAACCGGAAAGACCTTCAAATGTTCGCAGTTGCGACAGCTTTGTTCCGTAGGATTATTTTGATGAAAACGGCAACAGTTGACGCCTTTGATACCTTTTAATCTCCTCTAGAAAAATATTTCCTTTGCTTCTTATCGAACTCCCATGCCAACATTACATTTAACAATTTCTTGCAAATTTGATACATTTGATGCATTCAATATGAATTTATACATTCTATGCTTCACTACTTCATATATTGGATACACATTTCTTGCCAGACTTGAACAGACTAAATTAAAATTCGTCATGTTGTTTGGTGGTGTTTGTTGATATAAACAGGTGCAGACTTTAAATCTGCGTAGGTCTACAAGTCCAGTGAACTAAAATTGATTAATTGATTCACTGATATTCTTTATTGACTGTAGCCCTGTCGAACTGAGAACACTTTACATAAACAATAATTCTATTACATCGCGGTGTTTCATGAATCTTACATACAGTGGGTGTAGAATGTATTCGTACAAAAAACTTTTGTGTGAAATTGTAGTTTATTAACTTCTTTTTTTGTAATCAATGATATGTTACATATTCTCGGAAGTCTCTAAGGTAGATATAGTCCAAATAATATTTACTAGTTAATATAATTTGTGAAATTAATAAAAAGATGCGAAAAGTGGATAAAAGTATAAAAGCAATAAGTATTTGTACGATTCTTATGACGAACCATTTGCAGTAGTGTTTGTAACGTAAACACATTAGTTTATTGCTCCGTAATATTTATTGCTTTAACATTTCTATCGATTAATTGTTTTTTTCTTGTTAATTTCGCAACTTACATAAATAGCTATTTTTGTTGTAATCTATCTATTCTAGAGATTTCCGAGAATATGTAGAATATCATTGTTTATAAAAAGTAATTTTACACAGTTTTTTTTGGAAATTGATCGGTGTACGAATACTTTCTACACCCACTGTATATGTGTTTTCTTCGTTACATTTCGCATCGTCGTTCCTTCACACATCTGTTCAATATATTCTATTGGGGCCCGCTGCCCCCCCCCCCCCTCTCGTTCGGTCTAATTTCTACACGAATATGTCGAATGTATTGTAAGCAAGCTGCGAACCTATCAGATGATGTTTTAAAAGAAATTGCTTTAATTTGTTATATAAAGTGAAATGTATTCAAATTATGGCGCTGCAACTGGTATCGCCATCTAGCGATGGATATCCTGAACTAAAATTCGTTGTTGTTTGTTTGGCGTTTATTAAAAAAATAATAAACATATACAGACTTTAAACCTGTGTAGGTCTATTAGTCCTAAATATATAAAAGACAATACAAAAATAGAAATATTTACATTGTTACATATAGTACTTAATATTAGAAGTCATCTTAGCCTAAGTGTGTTTCTTTGTACTATATATGTTTTTGTTTTGAGTGTAGTATGTCTGTATATATTTCTGTATTTTATTGTATTGTTGGTGTCCTTCTGTGATTCTGAGTGTTGTGTGTATTGTTATTTTTGTTTCCTGTTAAATCTGCAAGTTATTTTCTTTTAGGAACTCTGTAATTATCCGAATTGCTGTTAGGTTAGGTTCCTGTAAGAGTTCCTTTGCCTTGAAGGGAGGTGTATATCCACGCCTGTGCAGTTTCTCTATCATATTCTTCCTTTTTGCTGCATATAGTGGACAATTCCAAAGTATATGGTTGAAGTCTTGGAGTTCGTGGCCACAGCCACATTTGCTGTCTTTGGTAATTCCTGTTCTTGTAGAGAGGCAGCGAGATTGTAGTGGTTACTACGGTATCTGCATACCCATGATGTGGTGTATCTTTGCAGCTTCCTATTGTAAAACCATGGTTACGTGGATTTTTTAAAGAATTTTTCAAAGTATGTTTTGCCCTTCTGGGCACTTTCATTTATCCATGTTTGATATGCGTTTTGCCATATTATTTCTTTTAATTTCTTTGTGAGATCAGAGGGAGGTATGAATTTGGTGCTTTTCTGTGTTGATTTAGATGCTTCTTTTGCCTTGATGTCAGCTACCTCATTCTCTACTATTCCCTGATGTGCCGGTATCCATATGAAGTTTAATGAGCTTTCTGTATGGGGTTTTTCTTCAAAGTCTTTTATCATTTTTTTTATTTGTATGGTATTGGTGTTCGTGTTATGGTCGAACATTCTTTTATGTATTGCCTGAAGGGCACTGAGAGAGTCCGAGCAGATGGCATATGATTATTGCTGCGCATTCCGCTGTGAAAACAGAGGTATTAATATTGAGACTGAGGGTGACTGTTCTGTTTAATTGTGGGCATACACATGCGGCCCCTGTGGTGAATGAGTCTTCCATTTTCGAACCGTCTGTAAAGATTTGAATGTGATTTGGAAATTGTGCCTCCATGATTAGGTTGAATTCACTATTGGCGATTGGGGATTCTTGAAGACTGCGTCCTACGGATGTATTAATATTGGCTTTAAAATTTGGAACTAAAATTCGAACCTCCGTACAGCGCTCCAGCGGGAAAATGCCCAAGTTTGTCCTCGAATAGTTGCTATTTTTACTGCTAGATGACGCCACTAATTGCTAATTATCGACAGTGGATATAGAATCTATATTAACACGTTCAATAATGAATAAGTAATGGTATTACAAGCATTGCCACATTGAATACTATCTAAGAGAATGTTCCTAAATCTTTTCTTTGTATAATTAGAATAATTAACTAATGTCGGTAAGCAGAATATGGCGGGGCCATCTAGCGCTAAAGAATAAAAACTACTTGGCTAAAATCTTGAACGTTTTGCCACCGATGGCGCTGATCACAGACCTTTAAATGCTGATTAAAAAATTATAAGTCGCTGCAATCACTTCTATTATGGAACTGTCAATCCATCTAAGAGAATGTCCCTGAATCTTTTCTTTGTATAATTAGAATAATTAACTAATGTCGGTAAGCAGAATGTGGCGGGGCCATCTAGCGCTCAAGAATAGGAACTACTTAGCTAAAAACTTGAGCGTTTCACCGCCGATGGCGCTGATCGCAGAGAACATCAAATGCGATAAGTGAAGTATACTGAAGTATGCATATACCCGGGTCGAATCTGGTCGGCATTTGTGATCTGTGTACATGTTCTGGAAGCTCATGGCCTGTTTAAAGTAATGGCATTTGCGACGAGGAGTTTGCGGCATTTATACAAAGTATATAATGGAAGTAAAGGCACAATATATTCTACACCCCGCCTACCGATTATTCGAAAATCCGTTCTTCCAACAGTGCATCATTATTACTACAGCACTGAGAGTAAGTAAATGTAGAACACATAACCTTGTATAGCTAAAACGTGCGCGACTCGTATACTCGGTTTATACGAAAAGTTTATAATTACACAAATATAACGAGACAAAAGTCATTCGTGGCAATATGCGACATTGTATTATTAATTCATCTGGTTGACATATATTTCATCGATTAGTTTTTATGTTAATATCTAAATCGAATTTTATCTAATATATTTACTATATATTTTTACAGCACATCGTCCAAAAATAACAGGTAGTTTGACGAATATACAATCATCCGGTGGAACTGTTCAATCCCTAGCACCAGATGTGTTGGACAATAAAAAGTTAGGTGAAGAAGAAAAAGAAGAGGCAGAGGAAAATGAGAGACGCGAACAATCGAAGAAGGTGCTTAAATATAGTTTCACATTTTTTGGTGTGTTTATCACTGTTGGATTATCTTATATAATATATGATCTAACGAGAACAAAATATGACGAACATGGAAATATCATTGAAGATGAATTCTCAAATTTACCATTGTACCAGAGAGTATTTAAAAGGCTCACAAGGGAATTTAATTATTATTCTAAGGTAAACGTTGTCATTCCATCAATTGTTTTTAAACATTTTGAAAGGAATTTTTGAGAAAAAGAAACTTATATTTCACAGATGGTTCAAGAACCCAGCAGAGATAAGTTGCTTCCAGACCCTCTCAAATATCCTTACATTCAGCCCCCTTACACTTTAGTGTTGGAATTGACAGATTTACTTGTCCATCCTGATTGGACGGTAAGCTTGATGCAAGTCTAAATATATTTGATTTATTTAAAATAAATATTTGTTCTTACTTATTGATTATTTCAGTATGAAACTGGTTGGAGGTTCAAAAAGAGACCTGGAGTGGATCAGTTTCTAGAAGCTGTGGCTCCACCACAATTTGAAATTGTTGTGTATACTGCAGAACAAGGATTGGTAAGCATTTTTAATTGTATACATATTGGTGAATCAAGTTATAATGACAAAATTAAATTATCATATCATTTATTTAATACATTCAGACTGTTTTTCCTATCTTGGATATACTGGATCCTAATGGATATATCATGTACAGACTAGTCAGAGATACAACACGTTTTGTAGATGGCCATCATGTTAAAGATTTAGATGCTCTTAATCGTGATCTCAGTAAAGTAAGCATTGGACTTATCTTTCTTCTTGTAAGTAAACTGAAACCCACACAACACATTGTGGAATTTATTTTGTTAGGTTATAGTAGTTGACTGGAATGAGAAGAGTACAAAATTCCACCCTGAAAACACTTTGAGGTTACCACAATGGACGGGTAATGACGATGATACGACATTGTACGACTTAGCTGCATTCCTCAAAAGTAAGATTTCTTTATAAATCTTGTAAATTTATTTTATGTACATATTTAATTATTTATATGATTTTTATTTTAATCGTATTTTTTTCAGCCATATTAGCAATAAATGTGGATGACGTGCGGGAAGTTCTCAATTATTACAGACAATTCGATAATCCATTACAAGTTTTCAGAGAAAACCAACGGAAATTGATGGTAACTAGCTTATAATAATATTTATATATTAAATAAATTTAATAACTTTCACTTTACAATTTTATTTAGTTGCAAATGGAAGAAGAAGAAAATAAGGCACAGCAAGAAAATAGCAAAGTACTTACCTCAAAGTGGAAACCATCTTTCCTCCGAAATCGTTAAATCATGATAGAAAATGAAAGATTGTAAAATGTAAAAATTTGTAGACCTTCGTTAACATGTTCGTTTATTTTGTTAATGCACATTACATGTAATTATTGTATACTTTTTGCATAAATAAACAAGTAATTCGTCCAAATGGTTAATTGTTATATAAAATTTATAAAAATAGTAATTGCAAACATTTAGTTCCCCATTTTAACAAAACTCATCTTTTTGTGTTTTTCGTACATTTTCTTTCTTTTTCGAACGCGCGATTTTAACTTTTGGTAAAAATAATTCTTGTAAAACGTTACTGTCGTCTAAACAAGTTATGTCTACTTCTTGGGACACGCTTATTAATTCTTGAGTATTAATTGGTGTTGCTACGTTATCCAATTCCTCTTGTGTAGGAACTAATGGTTTCGTATCTGCAGATTCTAACCAATTTAGAACTTTTTGATGAGGTGCTGTTGTTAAAGGTAATGGAACTTCTTCGCATATTTCCCAAACGCCTAAAAGTTCCGGTGCTAGTATATCCATGTAAGAGTTTAATTTTTCGAGAGATTGCTTCCAACTCGGTTCATAGTAATCATGTGATTCACGTTCGTTATGTTTCAATCGTAATTTTCTATTTGTAAAATCTAAAAAATTAATGTATATAAATATCTCATGTATCGCAAGTATCGAAGTGAATAAATATTTACTTTCATAAACACGTTGCATATTCGATTTGTCCGAAATCGTAAGAGGCGCTATAGTGTCCGTTTGTAAACTTATCGCGTTTTCCCAAGCATTTAATATGTATAACGATTTACAATTGATAGGTGAATATTTATTTAATTCGGTATTATGTGTTATGCACTGATAATACATATCACCTGGAAGAAATACATTACTAATTTTTTTATAAATAAAATAAAATATGAAATGAACGAGTAATATCCGTACCAATCGAATTTTGTTGAAACAAAAATATATTTTTAGATTCGTTTGCAATAACTGTGGAACCAGTATTAGATAAGTAGAATCTGTCTCTTAAATGTGGATTCAAACACATTCCTTGCATTTGAGATTCATTTAATGTGTTTATAATATGAGGAGGAGTAAATGGAAAATTAAATGAGTGTGAAGTCTCACTACTTGTCCAAGTATTTAAAATTACTGTACTTTCGCCAGGTATTTGACTAGATAAGACAACGAATTCCTTGTCATCTCTGCAAATAACTCTCTGTTAATCCATTTTTAATAGTTCCATTTAACAAGTATTTGTTACCTATTTATAACGTTGCCCATAAGCGGCGGACTTTTCAATTGATGAGTCCATTTTTGTTGTACGCATTGTTTTGGAGAACGATTATCGCACATTAGAACGCTATGATAAGTACCTACATATCTACAAGAATCGTTTCTACTTGCAATATCTAATGAAAGACTTTCACATTTTTCCAAATAAGATCTTGGATACAATGTTAATGCCGGTCGACTAAATTCGATCTATAACATTGCGTGAATTTATATTAAGAATTATTGTAAACAAAAAGTTGTTTTACCAATACTCAATTTTATTCCTACCCTAACATCAAGATAATGAAGGCAACATCTATCAACAAACAAAATAACATTTGGATCCATCTTTTGAAACTTTATACTTCCCCATGAATCATCTACTGTAGTGCTTTGCATTATAGTGTTACTACTTATATGCTTCCTACAGGAATAAACATAAATGTAAATTTTGTGTACATAACACATACTTAATACTACATTTGTAATTCACATTTACATTCTAGTTAAATCCCATAATGTTACAGATCTTGCCACATTTAATGTACAATACTGTTTGGTATCAATTAAATTTAAATCTGCACTAACATAAGGCACTTTTGATGGTTGTCTGTGGATTTCAATAAGGCTGTATTTACTATCCCGTTCTGATAGCATGTAAAAGTTACAATGATTTTTGTATCTACCCATAACATTACCTAGAATATTGATTACAATTAAATGCTACTAACAACAGTGTTTTTACTACATTCTATAAAAAACATTAAAGATAAATAAACATACATGTACCACCATTAATGTTGTGTTTTAATTCATACAAGGAACCAATAAGATTACATTTAGATGCCCTTTGAAATAATGGTTTCCATATATATTCTTCTACATTAACAATAGGTGCAGCAACTATAAATATATTAAAATAGAGTTACAGCCTTTTTAAAAGTATAAAAATAATACTTTCATAACGATACCTAATTCATCCATAAATGGAAAAAATAATATATTTATATTATTTAACTGTACATGGTTCACTGTTCCACCCGTATAATACCAATTATAAGCCTACAATAAATTTTTTTGAATGCTACTATTTCAGATTGTTTCTTTCTTCAAATATTATTATTAATTTGTCATACCCCTTCAAAATAAGGATCTGGATCCATGTCAATGATTGCTGCTATATCTGCTATATATTTAGGCACCTTAGCAGTAGCTGCATTCTTGGAACAATTCCATTTTATATCTCTCTTATGTATCACCCCTAACTCTATATAAAATTATACATGCTCATAAATGTATAATCTTTTGAAATTTACAGAACTTTCTTTAATGGTTAATATTATTATAAAAATACCTTTTTCATGCTTAAGATAATAATACTTTAGTCTTTGTATAGCATTATTCAGATGTTTTTTGATAGTAAGTAGTTCTAATGCAGGATCCTTATCCTCTAACACTATATGATATGCAAACAAAAATGATTAAGTTTATTTAACAAAATATTAGATATTATTAAATCACTTACCACTTCTAGGTAATTTAGCAGGTGGCAAGAGAGGCCTTGGTAGATCACAATAATAGGGATAATCTTGATATTGTTGTACAACATTTTCTAAATCTATATCATCTCCAGAGAAATTATTATGTAAATTATATCCTGGTACCAAATGATGGGGATAATTTCTCAAGAAGACTGATTTTAATTTGTCTTTTAAATTTGACTCGGCACGTTTATATGCTTTTGACGTTAAAATACTTTGATCTTCCATTATATTTTTTTTTCCATTATTTTTGGACTTCTTTATAAACCAAAAACTGATTACACTGATTCATTCACATTTCTTCTTTTTTATTAACTAGTGCCAAATTAATTTATTCTTTCATCATAACGTGTAACTAAGTTTTATTTACATTTCAGTACAAACGATTAATGTTAGTCATCACAGTAATTCTTAGATTTATGAAACAGTATTTGCAAAACATATTGGCTACGATACTTTCGCACGTGTCGAGTGTGCTCAACTTTGTATTGACTTTGATTGGATATTTAAAATTACCATAGTATATAAAGATGCATTACAGTATACCTGATTTGTTTTTAAATTCTTGCATATAAATATGGCGAATGTCTTTTAGACGTTCCGTTAGAGGGCTTCGACCAGCAGCCGATTCTCATAAGTTTGACAGTTTCATGGCGAGTACTCAATTCTTTCAAATTTAAACGTTTCTTGATCGAAAGCAGATTTGCAAATTATCCAAATAGAAATTTCGAATAACGAATAAAAGGTAAGTAGTTGTTTCTACATTGTTGATACTAAAATTTCTTGCAGAAACAGTTACCATCCTTTTTAAACATTGCTTGTAGAAACTCATTCGTCTAAATTGATACTTCGTATTCATAATGAACACCACAAACAGTGAGCTTTCAAAAGGTATTAAAACTAGAATTAATATTTCTTCTTGGTTAAACTTTGATTGAGGAGCCCATTTTTTTAGTTAAAACTTATCAAATCTTGTACTTTTTTTATTAAACAGAGTTTATTTATTCAGCGAATTATACAATACGCAATGTACGCGATATATTCGAAATATGGCTATAGAAACAACGTGCGTTCGATTCTCGGTAGCTATACAGTACAGACTCAGGTAGAGACTAATGAGAAAGATGAGCACTCAGCCAAATTCGGTTGAAATACAAAAAAGATATAAAGGGGTAAAAACTATGAACACACCGCTTGAGACAATGTTCTCACTTTACATACATACATACATACATGCATGCATGCATGCATGCATTATATTAAATCATACAGATGATAACAAGAAATCGTTGATCAGATTTTAACACTTTTCAATTCTTCTTTATTTCATTTATGCAATGAACATGGAATACATTGACACATAAGTAGTTTAATGCACTTCACAGATAATTACATTACACACACAATTTACAAACGACAACATTAATTACCATTATCTTACGAAATGCAAGGTAATAGTAATGCTGAGTATTCATTGATTGTAAGTGGGTTACAATAATTGACAGATATAAAATAATAAATACTGTTGATGGCCTTAAAATAGCTATCACAACATTATCTTCGGCATTATAACATGCTCCTATAAATAATAGATACAAACCATTATATTTGTTTAATTTAGTAAAATTAAAATTATTATAACGATGGTGAACGCATTAAAGTTACAACACATAACTTAAGATCAATTAATCTTGAGTAGTTGCCTGTTCGAATATTTTATATTCAATCAAATTGAAGTATTACACACTATATAATTTTAAAAACAATACTTAATTAAACGATATGAATGTGTGACTTGAATATGTCGACGAAACAACGTTGAACAAAAAGATCATGACCATCACAAGGTTTGCTCATTAATTCTTTTTCAACATCTCATGACATCATTCGTATTTTTGTTCTACAGATACGTGTTGTAAAAAACTTGTCATGTTAGTCAATGTCTACTAAATAATTTAATCAGTCTGATTTTGATGTGTCTTTTCTACAAATAATCTGAAACATATTATTGGAGACATGAATTTTAACCAAAAATATATTTTACCAGAATCGTAATAAAATTATAAGTAAAACTTACTTAATTATATTAGGTAATTCCTTATAATGACATATATATTTATGGCCAAGGCCATAAGACGAATTTATACGCGTAAACTGAATACGATCCGTATTATTTCCGTGATAATTTATAGCTGCTTTGTATAACTAAAAAAGTAAACGTAATATTATTAGTAGTAGTAGTTATATTTCATTGTAACATTTTAATCTAAATTGATGTAATACCTTTTCACCCAAGGAAAATGGTACTACATTATCGTCTTCGGCATGGAGTATCATAACAGGACACTTAACGTTTTGTATATGTTTATCTGATTCGAAACGAAGATGATTGTTGTAAAATGGTTCAACAATCACCCAGTGAAACCATGGTAAATGCTTAAAAATCTTAAAAAAACAAGCAATATATGAATGCATTTTTAATACGTTTATAGCGACATAAGGTATTAATATTTTTAAAATATGCGAAATACCTGTGCTAAAGGATGTTCGCTTAATTCTTCTGCAATATTGTTAAATGGTGATTCTAAGAACAAACCTGCAGGCTGAACATTTTCTGCTGCCAATAATGCTAACACATGAGTTGACACACTGTAAATAATTATGTTTCATAAAGACCGAATAACCTCCATTTTGTCATCACAGTAATATATTTTGATACAAATCTAATTTGCATACCCAGTGCCTAAAGAATGGCCCCATACAAAAACTGGAGCAGAACCATTTACTTTCTTTAGCAACCATTCAAGCAGATATTTACTATCTGTAACTACACCCATTTCAGAAAGTTCTGCTTCTTCACTATCACCATAGTCTGCATGTATCAAAGAAAATTAAATTTATAAATATTTGAATAATTAATTATAATATTTATAACTATCAGAGTATATTAGGCTTACCTCTGTAGTCAAAGCATATAACATGGTAATCTAAAGTCTGAAACAGTTTATAAAGTTCTAATCGATGCCTACTTGCTCTATTACCACTATTCCCATGCATATAAAGAAAAACAGGTTGTTTAGCATTACTTAAAACAGAGTCATAATCATCGTCATTTATAATAGCAGAATCGTTTAATAATGACTGAGGTAAAATTTGCCTAAAAATAAACCTTGATTATTTTAAGTAAATAAATATAACTAATAAATATAAATTATGCATCTCTACTAACCATACTCCTATTTTTATGTCTTGATGAGTTTTCAAGTAAAAATTTCTTGCACCTTTCAACCCAACTGACTCTGGTTTTGTCAAATCCACATTAAGAGGCCATTGTACTGAAAATATGAAAACAGTTATGTACATAAATACACGTAACAGTAATTTATTAAATGTAATAAACCATTCACAAATATACTTTGGATTTAATTACTTACCAAAGTTTAAGAAAAGTATTTTTCTTTGAAAGGTGTAGGAATAGTGAAATATAATGGGCAAAACCACAAATATGAAAAGGTATGCAATTATTGATACCTTCATTGCCCAAAATAAATATCTGAAAATTATATTCTTACATGTTCAAGATATTATCTCAGTAATGATATAAATGAATTATTAAGCAGAAATGATATATTTATTTACAAAATGCATGCTTCAATTCCATTTATATTAATAAAACTAATAAATATTGAGTAATATAAGCAATGAATGTGTATTATCTACTATTAGTATATTCTTTTTATTGTTAGTATACATAACAAAATTTAATATGAATATAATATTATAAACATAAAATCTTTTATATTAATACATGCATATAAAATTAGCTGAACAAAAATATAAAAGTAGCACAATTCCTTTGTAACAAATCATTAAAAAAGTACCATAAAATATGATAGTATTTAAAAAATTATACCTTCTGAATTTCATAGCAGATATTTACATACATCTTTACAATTTAATTACTGATTATTCCACATTATTTAATCCATTTAATTAAAAAAAAATATTCACTTAAAATAAAAATTAGAAAAACACAAATTGAGTATTGCAAATGGAACTGTTTTCATGTTACATTTTATACATTTAATAAAATATTTCAAAAATTTGTCTTTATCATTTGATCTCATATATATTGAATACCATGGCCAATTAGAAAATAAAATTAAAAAGGAACATTTATTATTCAGTGGAGTTAGAAATATGGTGTAAGAATTAGATATCAAAAAGTGCTGAGTCACATAACGGAAAACTTTCAGTTTTTATTACAAAATCTTCTGTTACTGGTATAAGTAACAAAGTCCAAAAATATTCTTCTATAATGTTTTTTTTTAAGTAAGGAATATTACCTCATTAAATAAACTTAATATTTACACTAATACTACTATTTACAATTTACCATACCATATACTGCTTTTTTTTATAATGACTTGAATATTAAATATTTATTGAAAGACACTGAGCAAAAGAAGAAATGTTACATAATGAAATCTTAAAGTAAGATATGATTATTGACTTAATTAACATAATTAATTCACATTTATATCTTGTGTTTTTTATTGATTGTGATGGTATTGTACAAAGTAACAGAATCTAAGAGATGTACTCATAAAAATGTTAGACAGTTTGAGAGTTAACATTCATAAATATTTTAAATAAATGAAGAAGTAAATGAATCATAATTATGACAGAGTGACTTACGTTCCCGTATACCAAGTATCAAGAACGATGAATGGTGTCACTGCTGCTAATAGTAGATAAGTAGACTGCATGTTTGTTAGTAGCTATCAAACCTAAGGCACCTTTTTAATTCCTCCTTTTAAGGTAATTTACTTGTGTAAAGGTTCTTGCAAGGTATTACTACAGAATAATAACATGTTAAAAATTATATATAATGTTAAGCTTTGTTATATTTATGAAAGTATAGTTACACCCACACCTACAGATTAAGTTCTATCGCACAACTTCCTCATACTAATGTAAACTTGTGAATCATTATGAAATCATTAGTATTATATAATTTCTTATAAACATTTGTAATAACTTAATATCACATATAATTTTATAATTTACAAAAAGATTGATGTACTAATATGTGTATTTTATATAAGAAAATGTATATTAATTTATTACATTTGAAGCTGTATGGCAAGGTGTTTTAAAAATATTGCAAATATTACATGAAAAATTGCCTATCATACCATATACCTTTTTGCACAGTTTCTTATGTTCATTTAAAATAAAAAATTAATAATACTAAAATATTTACACACTTAATCTACAAGATTTGCAGATTTTAAATTCAATTCTACTTCTTGTGTTTAAATAAATTACTAAATTAAATGATTCAAAATCTTAAGACAAAAGGTAATAATTACACTTAACAGTTGCACTTGCGTAAATTGGATTACTATTAAGTGTTAGTTACACCATTCTACTAAACTATTAGTATTCCAAAGTAGATGAATGACAATACTATATAGTAGAACCAGAATAAGGAAATAAATTATTAAGAAACGAAACAGTACCTCTTTTTAAAACGTTTCTTTGGCAACCAAAATACCATAATAATTGTAAATTAGTAATGTTTATGAAGGAAACGATGTCTCTACTCGCGTAGAATTGATACACTGATTTATATAATTACACTTCAACTATACTATAATAGCAAGTCAAATATAGGCAATGTTATACTTAAAACGTAACAGTTTCGACTTAGAATAATGACAAATTTTTGAAAATTATAATTTCGTTTTAAAACACGTCTAAATGGAAAACTATTATATATTTGGATTCCTTATGTCAGTTTGCACTATCGTATACAATACTGAAGAAACAAATGCAGAACAATACACATATATCCAAAGATTAAACTTTGTGTTGACCTGGGTGAGACGTAGCTTGTATCAGCTCGTCTGTAACCTGCGTCAATCACAGAGATGGTAAAGAAGGACTTGAGAAAGTAATCAATCAAAGTTTACTGAAAATAATAATGTTAAGTATTATATTACATTAAGTATTGTTAATCGCAGATACTACATATAGTAGAGGCCTGGCATTACACACGAGGTACGGAATAGACAGAACATTCAATGGGAGTTTGTGTCCCACAAACTGAAATACCGACCTAGTCTGATAAATAATATTATATGTGGTCGTTATTTTCATTTGTGTAACACAATCTTCCTTAAGATGCTAAATCTACCCTATACCTTGTCTGTAGTCTCGCCATTGTAAAAATATTATCTATAAAGAAAGGTCTGTAAACAAAATCACGTGACGCATTAGGATTGGTTAAGATCGAAACTAATCGAAACGGCAGGGCGCCGTGCCTTGAAGAGATACAATATCGAAACAAGTTATTATTCATGTAGAGTATTTACAGTTCTGCATTGAAAAACCTAATGAGAGAGTAAAAATAAATTAATAATATATTTATCATCTTATTTTGCATCAGTTATACGATATTACGACACACTTTTGACATAGCGAACCAATGAGATTTCGTCATGAAGTATAACGTTTCAGGCGTTCTACAAATAAGAGTATAGAAGCTTATCAAGAAAAAAAGGTAATTATTTAGCGTGTTACGTTTATTTTGAATTATAGAAATATATGTTGCTCGAAACATAGTAATTCTTTTTTTTCTTTTATTCATGATCATTTAAAAAATCATTCATCCTTGTGATAAGTAAGTTAAAATCTACCAATAGCGGGACATTTCTTAGCAACCTATTGGTTATTATTTTTGGGACAGATAATTTGTAAATGTGAAACGATTGTATTGTATTGTTAATTTCATAAAAAAAAAAAAACATAAAACAAGTATAAAATACTCTACACAGGTTTGAGATCTACGAGGTACGAGTTAATTTCAAAAAGAAGGTAACTATTCTAACCTTATGTACTCAAATTTTGTATGCAATATTAATTTTCAGATGAGTCGAAAGGAAGCATTATCTCAGTTTATTCAACAGATTCATGGACGTCCTGTTGTTGTAAAGTTAAATAGTGGTGTAGATTATAGAGGTGACAAATTCGTACTTATATATTTATACAAATTCCAATAATGTAGGAATTGTTTGATTGATCAGTGTTATTTTAATTTTATAGGTGTTTTAGCATGTCTTGATGGTTACATGAATATAGCACTTGAACAAACAGAAGAATATGTGAATGGCCAATTAAAAGATAAATATGGTGATGCGTTTATTCGTGGTAATAATGTATTATATATCAGTACACAAAAACGTAGAACATAAATAAAAATAAATGTATTATTTGTATCATGTTTTAATTGTTTCAACCTACATGAATATTTAGGAAATACTACCCTACGATTTGTAATACTAAATTTTTGATTTGTCATACTTATTATTTTCTAAATGCTACATTAATACTTTTATATTATAAAATTTGTTTATAGTTTCTTATAATTCCTTTTGTTCCTTTTTGTTTTAGGAGTTATGATCTCCATTTGCTTCTTCCGAACCAGTCTCAAAATCTTTGTTCTCCAAATTCTGAGTTTCACTAGGTGTTTGTACATTGCAAGAACTATCTTCAGACTGTGTATCCTTAGCTTCTACCAATTTCTTTTTGTTAGCTTCATCTTCCATAGCTTTAAGTCTTGCGAGTTTCCTTTGAATAGCTTGTTGTCTATTTCTTTCTATACGTTCTTTTACCTCATTGCTTAAATGTGGTGGACGAGAATGTTCTTGAACAGGTTGAGAGTTTTTATTATTGGTCTGAGAAATTACTTGATCAAATAGAGCTTCAGCTGTAGACTCCTGGTTAACAACTTGTTTTTGTTTCTCTATTTGTTCAGCAATTAATAAATCAAATTCATCAATAGGTTCATCTTGATCTTTATCATTTTCTTCATCTTCAATATCCTGAACAATTGTACCATCTTCTGCACTAATCATATCAAGTCTGTATTTTTTTATGAACACCTGAAGATCTTTCTTAGTACCTAGTTTCTCCACTTTCTCAAGAAAATCATCAAATTCTAATTTTGGGAACAATCTGTGACCCCAATGTTCCATCCTCTTCATGATTCTATCCAAATCTAACTTTTCATTTCCTTTCCCATGAAATTTAAACCCCTCAAAGTACTTTTCAATAGTTTGTATTCCTTTAGGGCCTTTTAAACGTTCTGTATTCAACTTAGGTATAGGATTTCTTATGACATGCTTTTTAGATGTTGATGGATCAATCCTTCTTGCAGTGTTTGCTTCTTCACTTTCCTCATTCTCTGAGCCAAGGACTTCATCTCTATTAGCATTAAGCTGATCTCCATCTGAATCTTGTTTCTCATATTCAGCTACTATATCATCTACGTCCTCGTAATCAGAAGCGTTTGATAATGTCGGCATATTCAACAAGTTGTACTCCCACTTTTTTCAACTTACTTGAAATGATAATTCTGTATTTAACAGACTAATTCCTTAGACAGCTCCAGAATACAAGTATCGATGCATAATGAATTCTTTAACCAGGTTTTTCTCTCAATTACTATTCTGTTCCTCGGTCAATTACACGTTCGTAACGGTACTGTTACCGTCCAACGTTATATAGGTTATGTGTTGCTTACTTAAAACTCGCTGTCATCTTGGGAATCGCAATCGGTGCTTCCTTTTTCCATAAATTTATCGAACTCACCCTTCGATTTGTTCATTCTTTCTAACAGCGAGACTAATAACTTTTTGTTTAATTTGTCGGTTTGTGTTATTTCACGTACAACGGGTTCGCAGTTCGGATTTGGGGGGCGTACAGTGTTTTGCAATTTTTCGAGTGTGTCGTTTTCTTCTTTCATCGGTGTGCCTGGCATGTTGATCGATTGACCAAACTGTCGTTATCCAACTGTTTTAAACTTGATTTTATTTTATGCGGTTCTTTACGGTTAGTAATAACAGTCTGACGCGCAAGAACAAATATCGTTTAACCTATCTGTGCTCTCATTCCCTGCGCATGTATCTACACGCGCCATTATACAATTATTTTGAAAAAAAACGACCAATAACTAACTATTCAAAATTGTTACATAGTATGCATTGTAATCTTATAGGCATACAATTTCTGAATTTTATATAAAGTATTCGGCAGATTTTATTTATCAATAATATATTTTATATACATGTATCAGATATTTACAAGAACTTGTTTTAATTGAGAATCAGTTCATAACTGAACGATTAATTTTAGGTCAATTTGTTTTTGTCAAAATAGATATTAAATGAAAAAGAAATAACGTGTTTAACATCGAAATGTGTAATTGATATAATATATTTGAAATTCGTTAAGAGTTTGAAGAAGAGTAGGATGTTATTACGTTTCGACCTTTCGACAATAAAAACGTCTTTTTAGTCCCCGACGATATAATTTATACCTTATATTAAAAAATCAATCTGCGTAGAAATATTTTTTTAAAAAGTAGTATCCGCGAACCTATTTCCATACCGCATTGCTACCTAATCCCCGCTACATGGATGCAGAATTACCCATCGCAGTGTTTCGTGTAGCACAGTCCTGTAAACGAATCGCGAGTTCATCGTGGATTATCGCGGCAAAGCATCAGTATCGTAAGAACTCTCGTGCTGTGCGGAAGTAATTGGCCGGAAAGGCCTGAATTTACAGCTTCAGACACCGTTCTCTCGTAAGGTCACCGTGAAATTGTAATTCAAGAAACGATCAGGTACGTTTCGAATAATTTGTCCGCGTGAAAAATTCAATTGTGCACGCCCTCTTTAAGATCCCACCAGAAATAATTTCGCGGAAATATTTCTAGGTTCGTCGAATAATTAAATTCGACGAATTTTTCTTTGGCGAATAAGTTAATTCGATAATTATATTTTGTTGAATTTATAATGCCATTTTTTTGTTATCACTTTAAGTAAAAAGTGTATAAATAATCACCAGAAAAAGCAGCGGAGTGATTTCAAAATAGCCAGCGAATTCCGATGTGGCATGATCACCGGTAACGGGTCGTATCCCACTTTTCAACGAATCGACGTTGATATCTTTGTCATTATGAATGTTGCAATTTTTTAAACAAAATTGTGTATGCTTTGACTTATGGGATTTAATGGATATATTCAATATATCACATTAGTTGAATTGTGACTCAGATTTGTTTAGAGAAAAGTACGAAATTGTCGATTGGCGCATTTTAATCATCCTGGATCGTATGTTCGTGCAAACTTTGGTAATCAGCCAATCGTGAGCCTCGACGTCATTAGAAAAACCGATTCATTCCGTCTACTAGATATCAACGACATTTACCTTGGATCGTGCATGTGCAGTGATAGATAAATGTTGGGGAAACAAATCATCAATTACAGTGTTAAATCTGCGAAGAAAGTTTACGTTATTTTATCATTCAGAATTCATTTATCCTTAACCTAAAATGTCACTTGGACATTTTATTTGAATAGCAGATGACATAAAATCTACGTATAGCGATTTATTCGTGACATTTATTGGATTTAACAATTAAATTTTTATTTGTTCACTGTGCAGTGTTTTATTTTATAATTCGAACTTTGATTTTTATTCTGCGAGTAACGAATCGAAAATTTTTGTACGTTCTTCGTCTACAAAATATTTAAAAAGTTAAGTTGGTACTTGGTCAAATTGGTTTCGTTCACCACTGTAGGTCATGATAAAATGAGGTGATCACCACAGAAGATCGTAAATATATTTATCATCATTACGTGGGCGTCCTTCAACCTTTCTTCTTTTTGGCAGTATCTCTTTTTGTTTCTTAGTTGAGATTGCGACTCAATTTGTACACTGTAACGAAGACTGCGAGCAACTTGTCGAAAGTAAACCAGCATTTTTTTTTGCAATTCGACAGGTTTGAAGCTGCAAAAATTTCGTGGAACGTATTTACATCAAGCGAGTCACAGAAGTGATCATCCCAATTGCTAGCTTTAGAGACTGTCGATATTTTAATATGAAAAATGTTATCAATTCTTTACTGAATTGTTACTTTTAAAAGAAGGGTAATTAATGCGGTTAATATATTTATTGATACGTATACCGCAAACTTATGGTCTAAAAATGTATTAGGTCAGTTTGAAATCAGCAGATGAGGAAGTCGAGGATTCATGTGACTCACTGTATGAACGTTGTCAATGTTCTACTTTCTTTAAGTTTCACTCGTATGTAAAATGAGCAATGTTCAAATTTATTAGTAGATAAGTGGTATGTTAACTAATGAAATAAAACTTTTAACTTTAAATACGGAGTATTAAATTAGAATATACACGAATGAAAACTGCACGTTACTGAATTTATTTACCTTATTATGTGCACGAGAAAAGTTCAACGGCACGATACATGATCGTATTAAATTGATTTTTTAATAGTTTTCAAATGCGTGATTAGGCTTTTCTGGTTGGAAGTTACCGATTAATATTTCTTTCGAACTTTTGTATCTTCGATGTAAGAAATCATTTGTGTCGAATTTATGCGTCTTTTATCAACGTTTCATTGCGTCGATAATGTTCTAGTAATGAGACATGTAATTGCAATTTATATTTTCGATTGGAAGATTAGCGTCGAGAACATGTAGACGATGATGAATTGTCTTCTGTGATTTTATGTAGAGATTTATTCGTGCGAAAATAGACATTCTCCACTTTACGTGTTCGAATGAAACACTGACCGTTTAACGGTACAATTCTAAACAGAACACGAAGCAAGGATATCACAATAGAATTAGAGGTTACGGTCACGACGTTGTTGATAACAATGCTTGTATCATCCGAATAATTTCGATCTCGCAGTTACAGTATAGACATACAAACTTATAACTAAGTAAGTTCATATTAGTATAGTTACTACAAAAATAAAACAAAAATGAATTAATTTTTTATTGGAAAAAATGAATTGAAAAAAAAAAATTTCGTCTCTTTATTGCGCCTCGGTCAATATATGTAATACTAATCATTTACAAACAATGTGTACCTAATTATATCTGGATTGGACGCATTTGAACTCTTCCTGTTTCTGGATTATATTTGCGTTAAAAAAACGTGCAGCCTTTTTTATCAAAGATCAAGTTTGTTTACATATGGAAATGATTCACTTGATGGACGTACATCGGATAATTTCGTGTACTCTTCGATAACCTTCACGTCAAAAGGACATTTGAATCGGTGCAATTTTTACGTCTTTTTCGGGTTCAATTAAATATCTAAGTAGCAATTTGTGCGTTATTACATATTCCAGTATTACACTATTCGTTGTATAACGTAATTATACATGGTCTTACTGTGTTTTCCGAGTGTCATGACATGAAAGAATTACGCGACCATGATGTATTCTATTTTTCAATTGTTAATAATTGATGAGTAATGTTCACGAAACAACGTGTCTTCTTTTATACGACTTCTGTATTTGCGTTTGCATGCTATTAAAAATAATATACATGTCGAATTAAGTAACCTTCTCCTTTTTCGAAGTCAATTGAAAATGAGATTATATAACACTACGTACGTTTGAATCTACATACTCTCATCTCTAAAACGTAATGTTTCAATAAAAACTATTTAATTTTTTAACGAGCCAGAGGAAATAGTCTTCTTGATAGTCTGTTCCATTAGGCATGTAGTGTCACGGCTGTATTTCTACGTAATTATTAAACACCGGTAGATTATCTTCTATAAAATGTATATTTTTATGTTATAATTCTATTGAGCAATGAATTTCGCATATAAATAATCTTCGAGCTATTCAGGTATCAAAATATTGCAATTATCATTTTTAAATTAGTGTGTTGTATGCATGTTTCGTTACCTTTATGTTAAGAAACATTTGGCAGTGTCTCGTGGCTGCTGTAGAAGTTGCGTATCTTGGAAAATGTTCTGCTCGAAGACGAACGAGTTCAACGACTTATGATTTAAGTCAGTCAAGGTCAATGAAGGTCAAACAGTAATATTTTAATAACTGAATACCCCGGAAACTATTACTCTCACGATACGTGTACTTTAATACTTAACTTTAATACCTCGATCTGTATAAATAAAGTATGCACAAGATCCAAATTACGGTAGGAGGTAAGGAAAAAATTTCATTACATTCAATTTATACGCAATATCATTCTTTTCATAACTCATAAATGTTGATTTAATTTTTAAATATTGTCCAAGATATTAATATTATATAATCTTCAGAATTCATTAATGTTAATTGAATTTATAAATGTTTGTTTTAAGGTAACGTACGTTTAATACTATACAAGATAATAATGAAGTAATTTGTAATTCAGTCATTACACGGAAAAGTGGAAAATTCGTTCTTATCACCAATATTTTATTTGAATTCAATTTCTACGTGCATTTCCATGTGCGCCTCTGGTGATAGTGGTCAGACAAAATGCGCGAATATATGCGCTAGTGATGCAAATAGGTTAAGAAACGTCGGTAACAAGCTGAAATCAAACGCAACAACAATCCTGAAGCCATGAATATTAATAATAACAACGAAAGCCCTAAATGTTAAATTAATTTCTAATGTCTTTCTAATGTCATCGTCCGATGCACGTTCATATGCATCATCTTTTCCTCGGTTTTATACCGTTTTCGTAGAGATATGTCAAAGCCTCCATAAACATCAAAGCGATATACGATCAAAGTCTTTTACTTTTTTTATTGGTAAAAAAAAAACACGAATAAACGAAGGATTTATTTCACGTTTGAAATTACCGCCGGAAGGTGGTGTGATGTTCTATTATTGATTTTAGCGAGTCCGCAGTTTCGCTCGTGGTATTCTAACGCGCCAGCATACTTCGAAATCAGTCAACATGGTTATTCTACTTTTCAAAGGTATTTCTTCAAATTAATTAAAATCAAACGGTCCATCGCCGTCCAGAAAATTGATCCCAATCAAATTTCAATGGCACTTTCTGAAAGCAGAGCCTTTCGACCTAGCAATGCACCTTCGAAAGGGTGGGAACGTCAGATGCATATTCGATCGCATTGTTTCACGTTAATAGTTCATGAAATACGCGTTAAGACGCATTTCTTTCTAATTTACAAGTTTAATCGAAAGTCTAAAATATCAATCTATAAACTCTTCAACGACACCTTAATTCAGAATCTGCTGCTAATCGCCATCAAAATATGTTTGGGAATGTATAAACATTTTTTGAATAATGATTTACGTAGTACAAAATTCAATGATTACGTAGACACGATATTTATAGCCGTTTGTAAACTGTTTCGAAGAATTGGAAATTTCCATCTTGTATTCTCTTAACCCAGCCTCGTGTTTACATCTATTTCAATTACGCTCAATTCTCTACTGATTTGTGAAATGAAATATTAGATTTTGTTCGTTTCGTATATCAATAAAACATAACAAATCTGATGTGCTGTAAGCGTTGTTTTTTTTTCTCTTTGAAGGTATTCTGGTAACATATTTCATTGACAAATCGATTTGCAAACTTTAGTAAGGAAACGTCAATTTTACAGTACTATAGTTCAGAATCGCTGCTTTACAGCATAAAGTGTTCAACTGAAACCTTAATAAAAACCGTGCATGTCGATACTACGACGAGAACTACAATTAAAATCATATGCTTGTAACTTGTAATCACTTCGATGATTACCTTCTTCATTACTATTTAAAATATGTTAAGTTTTCGAACTTTACATTTCATACAGTTTGCCTGTAAGGTAAATATATGTATAAAGACTTCATTGTGCAGTAGTTCTTTCTAGTTTCGTACGTCGTGAGATTTTTAGCATCGTTATGAAATTCAAATCGACCGATTTTATTGGCAGGATTCATAACGCAGCGATAGCTCGCGATAATTGTTTCTGTTGAGAAGTTAACAAATGTTAGTAACACTTAACAATAAGCTATTGACACTGTGTCAATCGGCCTGTTCGATAATAACAGTGACTAATAGCAAATAATTCACCGCAAATTTCGTTGCTGAAAATTCACAATTTCTAATTCTAAATCAGTCGTAGTCAAGATTAACGTACTCAACGATATATCGCTGTTTTACGCAACATACAAAATGCTTAAATATTAATGTATATCAGCTGTACTTTGATCGTACGTCGCCCGATGTAATCAAGAAGAAAGCAAGTAATAGTGGTAATAAATTTGTGGCGATATCTTTCAGCATATCCCTATCGTTATTTATAATTCAACTTCAAGGATCGAAACTGTGTAACAAATGTAGACACTTTTCATAAGTAAAAACGGAAGGAAAGGTTATTAATACTACAAAATATTCCCTGGTTCTTGGGTGGATTTTGTAAAGAATCATTCAGTTGATTGAAAATAAAAATAAACACATTGTTAAAATTCGTTTTAGTATTTGAAAAAATTTGACCTCTGGTAGCGTGAGGCGCGAGGCTATGACGCCAACCAAATTCCCTCTTAATTAGCGTCAGTCAGAAACGAACTAGAGCGATGCGCGCGCATATGCATGTAAAATTTGAATAACGAATATATTTTGTTGTTTAGCGGTCTCTCCAGTGATTATTCGGAATTAAAGTAATCAGAAAATCATTTAACGATCCGAATCCTTTCGTAATTTAGGCTGACTCTGTTCAATTTTGATTTATAAATGAGTCATTCAACCTATTATATCAATTACATAACACTTTCAAGCGTTCATAGTACATTTGTTTCATAATAACATGAAGATGCTTAGCAGCGTTTTTCGTATCGAATTACGAAACAGATTTATTCAATTGAAAAAAAAAAGTTTTCATTGAAAAATCACTTGGCATTCCTATAGGAATATTAGTTTTTTATTTTGAATAGTGGAAAGTAAGTGACGTTAGTCCGTTATTCTTTTTTCCCTGAAAAACGAGTCCTTCAACTTTAATCAGAATTTTAATAGCTTTCCGTTATTCAGAATAAAAAAAAACCTATATCTCTACTTGAGTTTTTTTTTATGCTAAAGTCACGTTCATTGATTTTGTTGAAGCAAACAAATCATTACAAATTCAACGCGATAAAAAAAAGCCGGTAACGTAACCGTCATCACTGTACATTTATATTAAAGTTACAAATCGCTTATACTAAACAGTCTCGAAGTGCAAGGAATTGAATTAGCTTAATGTCGACTACAATTTTATTTACGATCCTACCATTCAATGGAACGGAGTAACATTAACAATTTCAACTGGTACCGAACGGAAAGTTCTTATATTCAATGTCAAGCTATTTTTAAAACTCACTACAACTGAAAACATCGCATAGCGGTGTTAATCAGAAATTAATTATCAAAATTATCGTTACACCAGTATCATTTCAATAATTACGTAGCGTGAAAGAAGCAAACGTCGGTGACCTTTAACTTATTCAGTTTCAAAGTACGTGCGATTTAACGTAATTATGTTCGGTGTTGAATTGACATCATTTTCTAGCGCGATGAAATTAGTTACATCATTATTCGAAAGCACCTGATAACCTGAATATAAATTGTCTTTGTTTAGACGGCGTAGTAGTCGCGCTGCATATTTCATTTAAAAAATGTTCGATCCGATTAAATAGAAGAAATTAATTTTTCGACCAGTTATATGGTGCAATTGTTTGTTGTTATTATTTTAGACAACATGACTACAGTGCAACCGGTCCAGTCAAATGGAGTAATAAAAGGGTTCGCAGTAAACGATAAGGTAAAATAAATGAAACATTAACAAAAGAAATATTTCAACATTGTTTTGCTTCTTCTGGAATCGGAGAAAGACTTTGTATTAAATTTCATCTTATACATTGTGTTTCATTTAACGGAAGTTTCTAAAATAATTATGTTGATCTTCAAATCACTTTGAGTCTGAACTTGAAAGATGTTCGAAGTTAACAACGGCAATCCATTTTGAATATTTTCTAAATTTTTTTCCGCGTGATTTTTGTTGTTCAAGATCATGTAAAAATCAACGTTACAAACAGTTTAATTTTTGATTTTTTTAAATAAATATATTAGGACTACCGGAAAGTTTCTGTCCGTTTTTAAAATAAAACAAAATAATAAATTTCTCATGCCTTGAATAAATTTGATTGAATAATACAATTTTTATTATTATTTATGACATCTTACCAGCGTGATTGCAATTTGTATATCATTTTGAACGAATATCCGCATACTTGTTGAAACTTGTGACCGGAATGGACAGAACTTTCTGGTAGACCCAATATATTCTAAGTATCTTTCTTTTTGTTTTTATCAGAATAATACGCATATAATGTATTGTATTAATCACTTCACTAATATTTGAATAGGAAACCGTAAAAAATGGTACTTATGCGACTTGCACTGAAACCGGTCTTGACGGTAGGTATTCGCGATCTTTTTGCTAAAAAATAATCCTAAATAAACATACTTATCGTATTATTTTTTATTTGTATGGCCAAAGGACCTGAACAAATCCTTCCTACGGATGACACGGTTACATCACTCGCAAATGGTCGCGTACAACTACTATTAGATAATGACGGTATAGCTTCAAAAAGACCCATATCAATACCTGGTTTACTGATGCAAACAGCTACCAATTATCCAAATCAAATTGCTCTGGTTACAAGGCCTGGTGACGACGGGAACAGGAAAATATACACTTACAAGTACAGATTATATTAAATGAATGTAGATGTATTTAAATGAACTTTTTACATGAATTTAAATGTTTTTGAACGTTCACTTTCAGGGAATACGAGAATACAGTAAGAACCGTGGCAAAAGCTTTCTTAAAGTTGGGCTTAGAGAAGTATCATAGTGTCTGCATTATAGGATTCAATAGTCCGGAATGGGTCATTTCAGATATTGCTGCTATATACGCAGGGTAAAGATAAATATATTTTTCGCTTGAAAACATTATAAAACACACCCCAAACTTGATTTTCTGTAAATTATTTTTATAGAGGATTTGGGGTGGGCGTGTACACTACAAACAGCCCGGAAGCATGTGAATATTGCGCTATAACTAGTCGTGCAAATATAATAGTGGTTGAAGATTCGCGGCAATTAGAGAAAGTACTTAAAATAAAGAAAAATCTCCCCCACTTAAAGGCAATTATCATGTACGAAGAGACACCACAGGAAAAAGATGTGTTGGGCGTAAGTTTATATCGCGTAAATGATGAAAGCTTTTTATTCGTATACTTCATAAAAATATCTGTTTTTTTTTTTTTTGTTTTAGTGGGATGATGTACTTAAAATGGGAGCAGAAGAGCCTGATGATAAATTAAACGAAGCTCTGAAGAAAATTGCAGTGAACGAATGTTGCACTTTGGTTTTCACGGTATGAGAAATAAAATATTTATATGGATTTTTTTTTTCATTGCTATATAAAATATGACTTTGTGAAAATAATGTATTATTAATAATTATCCATAATTTTCCACTATAGATAAATTAAGATGTACTGTTTTATTTATAGTCAGGTACAGTTGGGAACCCGAAAGCTGCGATGTTAAATCATGATAATTATGTATTTACTGCATACACCACTGTTAAACAACTTAATCTCCAGATGGGAACCGAAATTCTAGTTAGCTATTTACCATTATCGCACGTTGCAGCACAGGTGAGTACAGCGAGTATATTTTATATACCCAGAGTATAATATTACCAAATTATTAATATTACTATTTAATGAATCTAGCTAGTCGATATATATTCCTGCATGGCCGTTGCGGGCACGTTACATTTTGCGGAGAAGACTGCACTTAAAGGTACTTTAGTCCAAACCCTAAGTTTAGTGCAACCTACTGTCTTCTTGGGCATACCTAGAGTATGGGAGAAGATTTACGAAAAAATGCAAATAGTTGCCAGTAATAATGGAATAATAAAAACTTGGATTTCGTCTTGGGCAAAAGCACAAGGACTTTACTACAATCTGAATAAAATTAATGGCACTGATTACAAACACTGGGGTTACTTATTTGCCAAATGGCTAGTATTTAACAATGTGAAGGCAGCGCTTGGTTTCAATAGATGCCACATTTTTCTGTCTGGGGCAGCACCTTTAAGTTTAGAAATTAAGCAATACTTCATGAGCTTAGATATTCTTATATGTGATGCATACGGAATGTCTGAAAGTAGTGGCCCACACAGTATGTGTACTAATTACGAATACAGGTTATTATTTATTACTTATGAACATTTTTACTGATATTAACAAGTAGGATGTAAGATGTTTAACAGCATTATTTATGTTTAGACTCGGTAGTATTGGTAAAACATTACCTGGATTCGAAACAAAATTGAATAAACCAGATGCTGTGGGTGAAGGGGAAATTTGTATGCGCGGTCGACACGTATTTATGGGATATTTAGGCGAATATGAAAAATCCATAGATGCTTTAGACAAAGATAGATGGCTGCATACTGGTGATCTAGGCAAGAAAGACTCGGACGGATATATATTTGTAACAGGTAAATATCATCTACTATATAAATACGTGTTTTCTTTAGTCTCATTTCATGTTATTTTTAATATACCTTTGTCTTGTTGATACTTAGGAAGAATAAAAGAATTGATTATTACTGCTGGTGGAGAGAATATATCACCAGTTAACATAGAACACTTAATGTTAGCTGAATTACCTGCATTGAGTAATGCTATATTAATTGGAGATGGAAAAAAGTATCTTACCATGTTGGTTAGTCTAAGGGTAAGTTCAATACATTATAGTATAATATAATTATAACTATTTATTACTATTTTTTTTTTTTATGTACTTTCAGACTGAAATGGATGTTCATACTGGTGCACCAAAAGATACATTTACATCAGATACATTACGATGGTTACAGTCTATTGGAAGTAAATCGAAAACAGTAGATGATGTTATAAAAACTCATGATCCACTTGTAAGATAATTAATTTGATTAATTATTGTACATAAAAAATTATGTTTAATGCATAGTACATTATTTTTTTAGGCATGTTATATACTACAATATATTAATTCTACCATTTGTTTTTAGGTGTATGAAGAAATTGATAAAGCTATTAAAAGAGTAAATAATAAAGTTATAAGTAATGCACATAAGGTACAGAAATTCCGAATTTTGCCACATGACCTCTCAATTCCAACTGGAGAATTAGGCCCAACACTTAAACTCAAAAGGAATGTTGTTTACAAAATGTATGAAAGTTTGATAGAAGATATGTACAAGTAAATATTTTATACATAAAAGTGCAAAATGTGTCCTCAAGAGATTGTTCCAATACCATTAAAAAAGTAAATATTGAAGCAACTGCAAACATGCCTATATAAAGTGCTTTGATATTGAAGGTAATTGTGATATTATACAAGTAAACAACCTAACCTGTAATGTAACAGTGATTTATTTTTTACACATTTCAAAAAATTATTTAAATTTCAAAACTATACGATTATTACTTAAGTTGTATATTAACATCAAATGGTACTTTTTTGGTTATTAAATACTTTAATAGAAGGAAATATAACTTAAGTATAACTAATTGTACGTTTTATAAGAATCTCTATTCTTGTATTGAACTGTGAATTATGTACAAATTATTCTTTAAAATCGACATATAATGTATAATATATTTAAGAATATGTACTAAATATACATTATAATGTAATTTAGAAAAGCAAATCTTATATATCTTTGGTATGATCAAATTGAAAGTGTCACACTAAGAAGATGTATAGTTCGGGAAATTTCAATTGCGCGTGCGTCCCAATTGTTTTTCATTTCATACTATTCTAATTAAACAAAAATTTCATACACATACATATGTCCTTTTGGCGTGACACTTTCAAAATTATATAATTTGTTGTAACAACGTAGTTTGTTACTAATATATTAGTTTCTTTGACAATAAATGTTGGTCTGATTATTTTTTATTATTCGATCAAATATAAAGTGAAAAAAAAAATAAACTAAGTGGAGTTAAAATTTTCTCAAAATATGGTAATAGATAAGTGCCTCTATGAATAAAAAATGTGACATTAGTATAAACATGAATTTGTAAGCAAACATTATTGTTAACAATAATGTGTATTTACCAAAGTACATAAATATAAATAAACAATTTAATAGTACTGAACAGAACTAAAATATATTCAGTACTATCATACTATTCATGTATGTATAAGAGAGCACTGTGTTGAATGCATCAATGGGTAACATTACTTAAATCATGCAAGGAATGCAGAAATTAATTTATGTTTAGAAATGTAAAACATTAAAGTAATCCAAACACTTCTTTTAAGTAAACACAACGAATTTCTCTGTACATTCTCACTACTGTTTATTTTCTTATGATATTTTATAATTATGCAAAGTGTATTGTAATCAAATGAGGAAATAAATAATAACTGAAAATATTTATATAAAAATTATACATGGAGTGCAGAATGGATGTAGTCTTTTCTTCCTGTTATTATAATTAGTTAAACAATAAAATTTTAATCAATAAACTCTCTCTGCTTACATTTTTTTTATTTTAAGTGCACTTTTATTATTTGGATATATTTATTTTTTAAATACAATTATATTATTAAATATTCGTCTTGTTATTCGTATAATAAAATAAATTTCTTACAATCTCTACACACTCCAACACACTAATATATGATGAAAATAATTAATGACAATTAATAATGGATAGAAGTTTATTTTGTAACTTTTTCTTCACTATTATGAGAATGGGTGGGTAACTAAATAAATATTATTATGTTTAAATTGCAATATATTACTAATATAGTTTACAATAACCAAAACAATTGTTATATTTAAGATTGTTTTATGCTACATACATATTCTTATGACAACCTGACATCTTATAAGAAAATAGTCTTACTAAGCGCATCACAGCAACTTTGGAAATGCAGATCTGTAAAATGTCTTATCCTGAAATTCTATTGCATGTACAAGTGGTTACATTTACATTATCATCTCTTATCATCAATCATATTTTTCCTTGTATTCCTATATACCTAGCTTCATTGCTTATTTATACAACAAAGTTCGAATCCTATCATCATGCTTGCGAATTTAAAATCCAAATTTATTGCTGCCTATAAAAGTAACTCAAATGTATTAAACAATAGGTGGGTGTTACTTAAATATTAACACCCCTATTTTTGATAAATGAAAAATCAGAACTATATTGTTTAATCCATAATACACTGTCACAAAATATATTATAAATGAATTGATTCTTTTAAAGTGTCTTAAGGATCTTCAAAAACAACTCTCAAAAATGCTTTCTCAACACACAGTATATTGAAAGTAATATATAGAATTGCAAACATAACATTTTTGCATCAAAGCTCTGATCGTCAAACAGGCATCTGAGAAGTGTCATAGAACCTAAACTTTTAAAATAATACCATCTAGAAAATATAAAGACACTGGTTTGTTTAAAATTTGGATTGCATGCGATCGCACCATATCACTGGAGTTGTAATACTTTGAAAATCTTACAGAAACTTATGAAGTACTAGACGTATTAAATTTTTGTTGAATGATAGATGTTTTTCGTTGCGGTACAGTTTCAGGTGTAGGTATAGCATCACCTGTTGGCAAAACACCAGCTGGCTTTGGTTTAGCTGTATATTTTTGTTTTGCCATTTGATAATCCCCAGAATCAAAATATTTTTGCTGAAAGTGTTTCATGTATTATTTAGAAACATTCAATAGTACTAAATATTAATTCATTTAGTCCTTACAGTAATTTTGTTACTTTTAGGCTTTCTACTCCAAAATAAATGTGTAAAATTTAAATATCTATATTACCCCTTTAGCTAGCCTCTTCTGCAGAAACGCTGAATGTCCACTAATTGGACGTCCTGTGGTTGGAAACTTTGCTCTTAATTTTGCTTCTTCTATCTTCTCAATGTCATTTGAAGACAACTGTAACAAAAATTATTTTGTTTTTCAACAAACCTGCAAATGAATGTACGCTACGATATACATCGATTTAAAATAGAATTTCGAGAAAAAAAGAAGTTTCAAAATATGACATCTGAACATGTCCCACTAGCGATCACATAATTTGTTTAATAATACGAATTTTGATATAGGAATACCGAAAATTATTTTTAAGACCTCGAACTACAAATATACTACAATCTTTATAAATCTGTACTCATTAAAGGGAATTGTACCTCAACTGTTCGAGTTAGTTCGTTGGCTTGATTGTCGCTCATCCTGACTGCTTCTAACCACTTCTTTCGGTGGTTGTTTTCAAAATTGATCAATCACCCTTTAAATACGCGTTTCGACACTAGCGCATAAAAATACGTAGTGCGATGGCACCGATACCCTTTCTTTCTGAATTGTACAATTCTGCGCGTTCCCGATTTTATAAACTCTCTCGTTGCCGAAAACAAATAACTGTCAATGAAAGTGTAATACACAAAAGCAGCAACAGCGGATTCGTATAGGATCATGGGTTTCCAGGCGGCCGTTACCGGAATTCTATCGAGGTGCGAATTTTCATGACGTAGACAAGCGATAAAAATCACAGTTTAAATAAGAATTTATGAATGTACACTGTCTGTCAACTTATGTAAGCAAGCTATCATAAAATCTGCTAATAGTAAACTGCACACGTGCATTTCCGGTCGATAAAAATAGTTAAGAGAAAAATTTAATTTCATACGCTCGCTTGATTTTGGCGTGGAAACGAGTCTTAAACAAGGATTCTCAACAAGAATCACATGACCCCTACGGGTCACTTTGATTTTTTGAAATTTACGAATGAAAAATGTAAAAAAATAGGAAGCTATAACTTCTAGATGGGCGACAAAACCACCAACAAAATAGTACTATGAAAATATGGTATCATTTGATATTGTGAAGAAAAATGATCTCTGTATGATTCAATCACAAAAATGAATCTTAAAAGAGAATCACTAGCCAACAAGATTGAGAGACACTGTCTTAAGAAACTCGTACCATTTCGTAAATTTCGTTTGTAGAGACACAAATATATATTTCAAGGACGAAATGCAGTTTATTATGTTGAATACAAATTAAGTAAAGGACTATCTACTTTCATTTTATCCATTCTTTTTTTTATGAAAGAATCTGAAATTTATGTATTTAGGAACTCTTGTAAGAGAGCGTAATATAACAGTTTTTGCATTTATTATGGAGTGTAACAGTGAGGTAAGTTTCGTCCTGTCTATGTATACATTTCTTTGTTAACTGAGAACGTTTCTGAATTTTTAAGACAGTTTCATAAAATAAAGTGACATTCTGAAATAATTGTAAATAAAATTTAAATAACAGGTAGGATCACTCTCGCAGAATGATACTGGCTCCAGCACTGCTTCGAGTGTGAGATTTCGCGAAGACATTTCTTCGGAAGAGCAGTCGTTACTTCAGGTTTTAGAAAGAGGAATTTCGGAGACGACAGAGGAAAATATCGCATTTGGAAAAGAAATTTCGTCGTTGTTATCCCAATTAAACCTAGAATTACAATTTTTACCAAGTGACATCAGGGAAGGATTGCAAAAGATAGCATTAATTTTACGATTTGTGAAACTGTCAGATCTTGATGATGTTTCATTAAGTATAGTAAGTGAAAGGAAAAAAATTGAAGAAAAGAAAAGACAACACGAAGAAAAACAGCTGTCATTATTGTATGATCATCTTTATAGAAAATATTCAATTTTTTCAAGAAAGCTTAATCACTTGCAAGAAGCTGTAAGTTCTCTTGAATGCTTCTTGGAAAATGCACAGAAGGAACAAGAAGATACCGATTGTGATAAAATGTCATTATCTATAAAACTAAATGAATATCAACAAACCATGGAGAACTTAGAAGCTGATCTGGAAGATATGAATATTCAAGATCTTTATCCGCAAGAAATATTAGAGAAATATCATAAGTATTTAGAAACATTGGGTGAATTAGCTGAGCTTAAAGAATACCTTAGTCAGTATGGAGATTTACCACCAAATTTATTACAAGCTAAAGCTCAGCTTGAAGTTAAACGAAAGGAGTATGAAACTATTGAGAAAGCATTTTTAAAGAAAGTTTAGTATGAGCAGTAGACATTAACAGTATCGTTAATTACATTTGCAATATGTTTCATTTGTAAATTTTTTCACTTTTATACAATAATAAAGACTATTATATTTATATATATTTTTGTACAAATCTTTATTTAAAATCCATATTTCGACTGTGTCTGTTTCCGGGTCATTCTGTTTTGTGCCCATTGATTTTTTAACTCCATTTCCATTGCCTTTGCTTGATGTGCTAAGTATGTTATTTGATGCTTCTTTTTAGATTGGGAATTCACTCCACCACCTTGCATAGAAACTGGTCTCTGTACTGGCTCTTCTGTTAATGCTTTTACCAACCATTCCCGTTCATCTGGTTTAATATCTTCACCATTAATTTCAATAATATTGGCTTCTTCAATTTCTTTATTTTTTCGCTTTATTCCCCTTCTCCCACAAAGATATTCAATAGCTTTATCATCAAAGGCTACATTTCCTTCTGTATCAATGTTATACTCTTGTTCAGGTACAGGTAATTTTGGACCAACTTCTGCTTTGTTTTTTAGCAAAATCTCTTCTTTTGGTAAATTCATGACAGTACTCACTAATGTCTTTTGAGAACCATTTGTACAGGCTTCATTTACAGCTATACTAAGTGTACTGCCACCTGTGTTTGAATCATTCTCCATTGATGTATCAAAGTTACTTGATTTCTTTTCTAAATGTGAGTTGCTAGGTAAGGAATCCAATATAGGAGGATTTGAAATATTTTCAGTTTCTGCTAGAGCAAAGAAATCTGTAGTACAACTAGTACCACTGCTTGTGATCATATCATCTTCATCCTCAGAGTTTGAGTCGTAATTTATTCCTATAGAAATTTTTCTTGTTTCAGGCTTTGTTACTTTATTTGTCTCTGAAGTTTTTGTGTCTTTATTTGCTTGTAGTTTCATTTGATTTGTTTTTGCTACTGTTTTACTAATAACATTAGGTATTAAATTATTAATACTCTTTATTTCAGATCCTCTTGGTGGTGGTAGAAGTGCAAAAAGTTTGGTACCTTTCTGAAATTATATATAAATTTATCAGACTATGTTATTATGCATTCATTGTCTATAGATATACTTACACTTGACACTTTAATTTTGTTAGATTTCTTTTCATTCTCTTCTTCAACATCTTTAAACTGCAATTAATAAAACACATTAGTTTGTTGGATGTTAACTTGTAATTAATCACTTGTAATCATTATTCTTACATCAGATAAAGAAGGAACTGTTATTCTAACTGGTGCACGATCTTTTTTGGTTGCTTTTTCGGATTTTAATTCGATTTCTTTCTTCGGAAAAGGGATATCGTCCTCTTCCACGATATTTTCTGGTTCGTTAATCGAGCTTTTAGGTTTAGGTAATTTATCGAAATGAATTTTTTCCGATGAGATGCCTGTGTCAACATTATTGTTTTCAGTCTCTGTTATCAGAGGATCGTATTTTGGAGAAGGCAAGCACAATTTGTCATTTGTTCGTTTAACTACAGCTTCCTCTGTAGCATTGTTTACACTATCCATTTCGCAATTATACCCTTCATCTTCTGTGCTTTCATCGCTGCTGTCATACGCCACAAGACTCATTTTTAATACGAATAAAATTGTTCATTTACATAAAGTTAGTCCTTTATCAAATGTATGCGTCGAAACTATGACCTCAAAAGAAAGATTGACAGTTCCATAATAGAAGTGATTGCAGCGACTGTTTATAGAGGTCACTGTACAGAAATGCATATACTATTATTATAATATCATAGTATCAGAGACGAGACCATGACATTTAATGGAATTTCTGTTCACGATCGAGTATAAAAATGAATTATTTTAGATATATTAAATATAATTTTTTAATCAGCATTTAAAGGTCTGTGATCAGCGCCATCGGTGGCAAAACGCTCCAGTTTGCAGCCAAGTAGTTCTTATTCTTGAGTGCTAGATGGCCCGCCATATTCTGCTTACCGACATTAGTTAATTATTCTAATTATACAAAGAAAAGATTCAGGAACATTCTCTTAGATAGTATTCAATGCGCCAATGCTTGTAATACTATTACTCATTCATTATTGAACGTGTTAATATAAATTCTATATTCACTGTCGATAATTAGCAATTAGTGGCGCCATCTAGCAATAAAAATAGCAACTATTCGAGGACAAACTTGGGCGTTTTCCCGCTGGAGCGTTGTACGGAAGTCGGAACTTTAGTTTAGAATATCCACCGTTAGATGGCAATACCAGTTGCAGCGCCATAATTCGAATACATTTCACTTTATATAACAAATTAAAGCAATGTCTTTGAAACATCATCTGATAGATTCGAATATTTATTTACAAGTTGCTTACAATACATTCGACATATTCGCGTAAAAATTTGAAGCATGTATTCCAGCAAAATTTATTTCTAGAAATAAAATAATGAAACGAATGTACGAGTACTCAATTTCCTTTTCACATATTTTACTATATATTTTCGGGTCATGCATAATTGTTTTTTTACTTAGGGCAATAAAGTCTTCTTTGAGAATGAATTTCAAAGCTTTCAAAGTAAATAGATCGAAAATTCCAAGCCCTAATATGGTTAACCCGGACCTCCTAAAAATGGCAACATCATAAGAAATTTAGAATACCTATCTCCATGGAATGAAAATGTTTCTTCAATACAGTTTTTAGAGTAACAATCTTCACGGAAATTTCAATATCCTCGTATCGAAACCTCTTAAAACTGCCCTTTAATAAGCCACACGGATATCACCAACGTCGGACCTAGCAGTGATCGAAGAATCTCGAGCGACTCGGAGGTACTCTCAACTTGCTCATTTTTTATCGGGTTCGTTTCCGCGGTTAATTTCCAAATATAATCACTACCGTGAAGCAATCGTCTACATTTCTCTGCAAACAGGGCGGCAGCCCGCGGGGGTGGGCCATAATGAGAAGAAAAAATTCCGATTCGGTAGTTTCCGAAGCGGCCGCGGCGCAACTCCTCGTATATACGCGAAGCCCGTCGACGAGGAGGGATCACCCCGACCCTGATTCGCTCGTCTGAAAACCTTGCTCTTTTACGCAATTTTAGCGTTTATTAAAGTTTGCTCGCAAATGAAACGAAGCCCATATAACCTACCTAATTTAGCGAGTAGCATTTTCGAGTGGGGGCCACTCCAGGAGAGGAGGAGAGGCCGGGTTCTATTGACAGCGGTTATTGCCTAACTGCGTGCCTCCACCTAATATGCCCGCTCGGGGATTCGCATGCAGGGCCGCTCGAACGAAAACTGCGAAACACGCCTGTGAATCTTTAATTCCGTCGGTGGTAATCCGGCATCCCTCTCTTCTGGCTGGTCTCCACCCCCTCGCCCACCATCCCCTGCCAACGGCCTATTCGGGGCTTGATTTTTTCCCTGGCTTCGAGGCGAGTCGTATCGTATGGGAATTCTTCATCGTCGTTTGCAAACGCCATCATTGTCGACTTTCCATTTATTCGATCGTTCGTATCGACATTCCACCTCCGCTATATCCCCCCCCCCCCGCGGCCATTTCAGCGTGGAATCGCTGCTTAAATTGAGACTTATCGTGC